GATAAAGAAAATTAAAAAGCATAGAAACCACAGAGGTTAATTTAACTTTGATTTCCTTGAGGTAAATCCCAACTTTCATTAAATGGTACCATTGTGGAATATCTTTAAAAAAAGAACAAGGAAAAAAAAATTAAAATAAAAGCCTTTACAAGAATCCTGCAAAAAGGTGAAGAATTCATAGAAGTGGGTTGGGTTTTTTGAGGGGGGAAGGGGCGTGGGGAGAAGCTGTCATTGATGTATGTCGTGAATGTAAGTAAGTATCTGTAGCTAAAGAACACCCAAAGAACCTTTCTGTTCAACAAGCTAGTCATCTTACATGAATTCTAATATCCTTCTTACCATCAGCCTTATCAGGACTGGGAAGTTCAAAGATGTAAAATTAAGTTAGGTACCTAAATTCTACATAGGGTGTAGATGCATACACACCTTCACAGTAAATGGGAGATCACTAGAATTTGTATGTCTAAATCCTCAGAGCTCTTTGAAAACAAATGCCCACAACCAGGCAAACAGGGCTGTGATGGGGAACATTGGTTTGGGTATTCTCAGTCAGTAATGGATGAGATCAGTCTGCCACCCTGAGTGATGTTTTCCATAAAGACTGTTGTAAAAGCAGACATATATCCCTGTCTAGAACCTCTGAAGAGCTCTGTGCGGCTGTGCTGATATTTTTTTTTTCAGTAGCACTGAGACTGCATGTCCAGAGAATCAGATGTACCGTAGTATAGCATTCAGATCTCAAGTGCTGCTAAAAATGAAAGCTGAGCAAAATATATGGTATTCATTGAAATTTCCTGTTGGTCTTTTTGGTCTTAAAGCTTATGCATATCATTTTGGTTTGGGGAACTGGACAAGAAACTGTTTCTAGCTTGTCCTGCAGTCGGATGTTAGTTTTGCTTAAAATACAGACGGACAACAAAATAAAAGGGAATTTATGAGGCTGGGGATTATCATAGAACATCAGCTCCAACATAATACAACTTTGTTTTTCTAATAATTGCCTCTAGATGGGTGTGATTATATTTTGTTGAGGGCAGTTATTATATCATGTCATGCTGTAGTATTATTCCAAGTCCTGATTAACTGACACATGGTGACAACTGGTCATCGCTTTGGAATTAGGCTAGCTCACAAGTTAAATTGTATCATGACATTAGAATGCCTATGTTAAAATAGAGTGAAAAAGCTTTCAACTGACAACATAGTGTGAGAGCTAACAAGACCCTATTTTTAATCTGAGAGCAGTAACTAACTTTCTGTAAGTGACAGCAATGCCTTGTGTCCTTTCACTTTGTAATGGAGTTGTCGTACTCAAAAAGTTTGAAAACAGTTCAGACTTCATCTGCAGAGACTGTTATTATTAATCTTGCACCCTAAATTTACAAATACTGTTTTAAAATGCAAACTAGCGTGAAACTGAAAAACTGACTGGAAACTCACCATTTAAGCCTACATACAGCATGTAATGGTTTGAAATAGCAAACTCCTCTCTCTCTTTTCAGTAGCTCATTGTGCCTCAGTCCTTATCCTTTCCCGCTACCTCATAAGCAGAACTGAGCGGGCTTCCTGAGACTCTGGCTAATAAATGAAAGCTGTATAAAAAAGTGCTTGGAACATAAGACATATCCAGGACATATTCTGTCATTTAAATGAATCACCTCTTAAAACTAGGAAAAATAATTTCTAGCATTAACACTGCTCATTTCAGCCTATTTTGGCAGGAAAAAAAAAAATAAAAAAAATTGTAAGATATATATTTTAAAACACTGTGCAGCCCTGTCTTATATAGATTTTCCTCTCCCACCCTGGTACTTGAGTGCCTTCCAGAAGCACATTAAGCAACATGACTAATATCTGTCTCATCTTCATTCTTTTGCTATGAGCTGAAACATTACATTATTTTTCAAAAGCTACCTGCACGTTGATGAAGTATCATCTTTGCAATGAGCATAAAATAACATAAAGTCTTTAAATAACCGTGAAGATCATGATAAAATTCAACCTTTGCGGAAGCTAGTACAGTTTCTCTTAATGTAACTGGACAACTGCCCAGTTATGCCAGGACAGTTTCTGTACACCAGCGTCACAAAGCAGACTACCTTCTTGATGTATGGATCTGCAGAACACAAAAAGAAGTGATCCTTCACAGCAGAATTCATTTGGCTGTATGGGAGTTGTTTGAGGTTTTTTTCTAATGAGTACAACAGAGGAGGTCTCTTTCTCTCTGGAACTACAAAGGTATCCAGTTGTGTAGTTGTTGCTGCTTTATTATCCTGCATAGGGTTGCTAATGCAAATAACTCTTAAACTGTCTTTTGTATCAAAGAGTACAGAAGACTAACAGTCTGACTTTTTAATGGCATAATAACTTACTCTAAGCAGCAGCAGAGATCTACAAGAAGACTGAAAATTAAATAAATGTGCTATTATTCAGTCTTACAGAATGCATATGTATTGTGTCATATTTGGACTACAGGAAATTTAAGCTTGTGGATTTGTTCCTCAGTGTAAACAAAGATTGCAGGCAGTATGGACCACATTGCATTAGATGCTGCACAAGCACAGAACAAACATCTACCACTCCCTGAAAAGTGTGGTTGGCTTCAAACAAACTGACTGGGAGATTGCTAAATAATTCCCCTGCAGAAAGACATAATAGGCTAACAATCTCAGGCAAGAGGAGCTGCCAGCAAATACAGGTGTGCTTTGCTGTAACTGACCTATGCAGTGGCATGATCTTCTAAGGTAAATAGTGGGATTCCCAGTATAGCTATGGCTTGGGAGAGGACAGCATTGAACTGCTTTCAGCTGATCCCCAGCATACAGAGCTTTATGGAAGAAAAGTCAAGGGGCCTGGATTCACTGCTTTCATTATTTTATTTCCCAATTTTTGTTCAACTGTACTGATCTGAAAGCCTGGCTTCAACCTTAAAACAAATTCTAAACTTCTCTGCCATCTTTTCGTCTTCCAGATTGTGTGGCTAGAGAGCTCGATGTGTTCAGCAGTACAGCCAGTAGGCATTATTTCTTAGGAAAAGAAATGCTGATTATATAAAATAGTAATCAGGATGATTCAGATGTCAAGGAGACCACCAGGTGTCCTGGTTTGAGAATTGTTGTCCTGATTTGTCTCAGGATCAGCAAATAAACCAGAGACACCAGGTCAGGTTTAGGACTGAAAAACAGCTTTGTTTTCCTTTTCCCTAAAACATCTTTGTCAAAATTCATGTATAATCTGGAAAAACAAAAGATAAAACCATATGTTGTGGACCTCAAGTTATTCTGTTTGGCACCAAAGGATAACAAGTGTTTCTTTTTACTTGTGGGTTTTGTGGGGGTTTGGGTTGGGTTTTTTGTCTTTTTCTTACATAAACTATTTGGCGAAAGCAAATTCTTTTCCAGATGGAATTTATTCCATATGAAGAGCTCTGTTATTAATGACAGTTTGGACATTGATACATTTATTAGAATATATTTTCCCTTTAATAAGTGCTTTGATGTAGCGAGAATGTTCCCAATGTTCTGTGTATATGTTTTCATGCCAACCCTGTTACAGTTATCTGGGAGATCAAAGACTGCAGCTCTGCAGTTGCAGCCAAAAAGAAGCAGCTCTTTTCTCACTGAGTCCTTGTAGACTAGTCCACAGTGTTCAGTGGATTCTGCTTTCAGCTGATCACAGTTGCAAATACTCAAATTTAGTGTAGATGTTTTTCTTATATCACCTTAACTGCCATCCTGTCTTTAGCATTGCAGTGGTTTTGCATTTTCATGAGTCACTTCATTTAGCACACACAGATGTGTCTATGGGCAACAACCACATACTTAGAACCTGGTATGTTGGCTGTGTGATGGTTGCTGCATCAGTGAAAATCATTTAATCACAGCAAACAGACATGGCTTGCCAAAGGCATTGCCATCTCTGCCTTACTGTCTTGCAGTGCTCCATGTGCAGGCCACAGAAATCATTGAACTCTTTTCCAAAGGAAGTTTAAGCAGGTTGAAAAGCAGACCTTATAGGAAGATGGAATCTTCTAAAATCCCAGAGAAGCTAGGCCTGGTTTGTCAGATGTGTTTAAAGAACTACAGTACATGCTGAGTGAATTTCTTGGGAAAACCTAAGAGCCATATGGCAGTTGAAGGGTTGAAACAGAAGAGATGATTGTGAATTTCCACTGTACACCATGGGCTCAGTTTCCTGCAAAAATACATTCTACCAGCCACAATTTAGAAATAGGTTTATGGTTTGGGCCTGAGTAGATAAAGGGCATAGAAGGAGTAAAGTCTGAAATCCTTTTAAAAAAACTTACGGTCTGCTGTTCCAAAACCAACAGCTAGCACAAACTGGAATAATTAGGCTGGCTATAATATGACTGGTGCAGGCTTCTAGTCCTGTTCTTCAGCAGAGTAGCAAATTCTTGAAAATACTAATATTTTCTTAGTATTACCTGGCCATGTAATATATTTAAGAGGGATTTCTGCTCATTTCTACTCAGTTCTCTTATAGATTCTCTTCAAAAACATTTACATATAAGTTTTCAGATTATTTCTGTGGTGTTCTACATTGTATGAACTGCAGCAAAACGGAACTTTCCATTAACTAAGTATTTTTAAATTGTGAAGTTTGCGAAGCAATTGTCATATAAATAACTTCACTTTTAGCTTAGAAGATTTAGTATATTGGCTATGGAGGATATTGCAAGGGATGGCAATTGCTATGTTCAGACAGTACACGAAGAAGTGGAACTATCCTTACTGAAGGTCTTTTAAATGGTTTTGAAGTTCAGTGTTAAAGGTTCTGCATCTTTCTATCTTGCTGGTGAATTCAGGCTATGTTCTATTTTTCTTTACCTCTAAGTAAAGCTATTTCATATCCAAACACACAAATTTCACAAGTAAAACACTGTTACGACAAACTTTACTAATGGTGACCTAGGAATGAAACCAGGAAACCCTTGGTGCCTTACTGTTGTGTCCATTAACACCTGCTTGTTTTCTCTGCAGAATTTTTCCGAGAACTTCTAGAGAATGCGGAAAGATCCTTAAACGACATGTTTGTCCGGACGTACGGCATGCTGTACATGCAGAACTCTGAGGTGTTCCAGGACCTCTTCACAGAGCTGAAGCGCTATTACACAGGAGGCAACGTGAACTTGGAGGAAATGCTGAACGATTTCTGGGCTCGGCTGCTGGAGCGGATGTTCCAGCTGATAAACCCCCAGTACCATTTCACTGAGGACTACTTGGAGTGTGTAAGCAAGTACACAGACCAGCTGAAGCCGTTTGGAGATGTACCCAGGAAGCTGAAGGTTCAAGTGACTAGAGCGTTCATTGCTGCACGGACCTTTGTTCAGGGGCTGACAGTAGGCAGAGAGGTTGCAAACAGAGTATCCAAGGTAATCTAAAACCAGAGGCTTTTAAGCTTGAATTTGTTTCAAATTTACTAGACAATTGAAATCTGATAGTGTACTTCTTTTTTAATATGGGGGGCTGTGGTTTTGGTTGTTTTTTTATGTCTACTAATCTACCCATCCTAATTTTATCAATAGGAGCAACAGTTGTTTTTACTCTTTCTGGAGGTATTCAGGCAATGATGATTGGAAAGCATTTATTAGGTCTTAGGGCATGATGAAACATCAATATGCATCAGTGTTATAGCATGGACATAATTGTCACGAATGGTTAAAAATGGACCATATATATAAAATACTATTATGATTTTCAGAATTTAAGTGTTCCAAGTTAATTTATGCTGCTGTTCATTAGGGCAATACAGCCCTCACATCAATCATGCAGCATGCATGCTGGGTGATGGATTTTGTTAGAAATGTCTAGTCATGTTTTTGATGAGAAAATAGGCGAATAGTGACACTTCTGTAGCTTGAGCTTTCCCCGGGGATGGTTTGACTCACATTTATTTTAGTTTTAATTATTTATCTATGCAAATATTTAGGACGATTATAATCCTTGAGGTCTTCAAATAATTGAAGCTATGTCAGACAAAAAAACACACACAAAAATAACCTGTCTGGGTACCAGAAATGTGCCTGATTGTCTTTTTATTACAGTTTTTCAAACTGAGGTATATTTTTCTGAATTGCTGTTTGAACTAGACACTTATTCCATGGTCTGGCTATTTCACAGTCCTAGTCTGTACTGTATTTGTGCCTTAACTATACTCTGAATTCTGAAGTGCTCTGGGGTGATCTTCTATGAAATAGCCAGATACTGACTTCTGGACAGTAAGTGCATGCATTATTTTGATATCTCCCCCTTGCAAAACTTTCCTGCACTTACAAGCATAAGCCATTCCTCTTCATCAAAAGAACTGTTTCTCTTACTTCATTTAAATCACAGCCAGAAGGTGAGGTAGAACTGATATGTTGATCACTAGACTGCAATTCCAGAGTTCAACAAGATGAGGCTTCTAAACTCTTTTTTATCCTGTATGATGTGATATTTTGCAATTACAAATTCAGAAGCCAAGAAGCCAGAAAGGTAATCAACAAGTGAAAGACTGATTTTATGCCTAAGACATCGCATGGGAAGAAAGGGTTATTTTGCACTTGCAAGTAAGTGAATGAAATACATGATCCTGATTACCCAGCTGAAAACAAGGTCTATTCCTCCCAAGTGCCTTCTCAGGCTACAGGGTTGCCTTCCCTTTTTCTGGCACTGTCAATTCTTTCAGTCCTTTCTGAACCATGGCAGGTCATTGCCATGAAATTCTAGCCCATCTAGTCTAGTTAGAGATAGATATGGTTGTTTAGCCTCTGAGTGTACAGAATGCATATATCTGCAGCCCAAACTTCCTCTGAAGAGCAGTGATGTCCGTGTGGGTTAGGTTTTAAGTGAAAGTGCTGAGCTCTGATTTCATTGTTGTCAGTAAGCATTAAGTCGTGCTGCATCAACTGGATCAGATTGTAAGGAGTAAGCTGTGCAATTCATATAATAAATGTGTAATTTGTTAATCCTGACCAGATTAAGGTATGAATTGTCTGTTGAGATGTCACTTTCCCTGTAGTATGTACATGACTATAGAGACTCTGCAGTTGTCTCCACTCACATATGCAGGAAATGTTTTCATCTTTCCAGCAGGCTTTTGGACATATAAGCCCTTTCAAAAATAGGGCTTATTACAAGATCTCTAAATGTTTCTGTGATCCTATAATGAGAGCTACTAGCTCTGTAATCATAGAGTGAGACATTTTGTACTGTAACATGGAGATTATAACAATGGCTCAATAATGCTTCTGGTTTTCTCCTTTAATATGAAACCAACATTCAAAATCTTTAAAAGTGCTTGGTGGTTGGCGCAAGTTATAGGTTCATTGCACAGGTTCATTGCTTAATGTGTACATAAACAACAATACTCCAATAGGCTACATCTAGGACACTGTGTTCAGTTTTGGGCCGTTCCCATACAAGAAAGGCATTGACAATCTGAAGCGAGTTCATTGGAGGTCAGCAGCATGGTAAGGACTAGAGGATTTGCCTTGTGAGGAGAGGCTGTGGGACTGGGGCTTGTGCAGCCTGGAGAAGAGGCAACTTCAGGGGCACCTATCAGCAGCTCCTGGTGCCCATCGGGAGGTCATCAAAGAGATGCAGCAGAGTTCTTCACAGTGGGACATGGTGTGATGTGATGAGCATGAGTTGAGTCAAGGGCCAGTTCAGACTGGATATAAGGAGAAATTTCACCATGAGGAAGCTCAAGCAGTGGATCAGTTGCCCAGAGTCCATTAATGGAGGTCCTGATTGTGCAAAACCATTTGAGATTACAAGGTCATGCTAGTCTATGTTCAGAGCTGGCCCTGCTTTGAGAAGGCTTGGATGGGATGTATCATGAGCACCCTTCCAACTGAAGTTATCCTGTGATCCTGCTAAAAGATTAATGAAATGAATTTTTTTTTTCTTAAATGCAGAATATGCTTTGAATGCAAGACTGATTTTGGTATTAAAAGCTCAGTGGCTATATTCATACCCATAGCAAATGGGGAAGGATTGCTCGTTTTAGGGACTTTGTGTCATATGCAGCCTGCTGAGGCAGATGCAAAGAACCCCAAGTGACACCAAATGTTCAAGATTAATAAATATCCTGTTGAAAGGCTGTGATTACCCTGAGATCTAAGCTTTTGTGATCATATCATAACTATGGATTTTTATTCTGGTCTACCTACTGTAGAAAATGACAAATCCTTTTATTTAACAATTTTAAAAGACTGCAACCATTCCTTAGAGTTAGCACATAACTTGACATCTGAAAAAGAAGCAGGTAAATATTTTTTGTTGTTGTTTTGGAAGTCATCCAGATTCAGCATGGATTTCTTTTTCATTGTTTCTATTATTGAGAGATTCTGTGATAATGATCCTACATCTGGCTAAGTCAGGAGAAACGATAAAAAGAGAAAAATAAAAGAACTATTGCAGTTCTTTTACAGAAATCTTTGTCCATTGTCTGCTTTGACTGGGAACAGAGGGGGATCTCTGAGCTACAACATCACACACTAAAAAGATTTTTTGCTTTCTTTTTGTGAAGCCATTATCTCACTGAACTGCCACTGCCAAAGGCCACTCAAATAGGAGAAAGTTGAGCCTGCACCTTAAACACCATGAGATAGAGTTTTATTAATGAGAAAGTTGGTAACAGCTTCTCCTTTGGGCCTTTAATTTACTGTCTCAGCCTCTTCTGGCCTGCTTCGGTAAATGAGTTGGTGGATCACACACACAGAAGGATTTGTTCCCAATCTAATGTCAGGGATACATCCTTTCCAAAAATTTCTCTCTGGAGAGGGTGTAGTGTTGGTACTGACTGAAAATTATGTAGTCAGTGTATTCCTTGAAAAAGAGATACACTCCCATCTTTCTGGTTGTGTATGCACTCAAGAACTCTCAAAATAAGCAACACATATAGCAAGTATTTTCCTCTTGCAATACTATTTTGCTATTTACTTATGTCAGTGAGTTGATAATTTAGATAAGTCAAATTTAGATAAATGAGGACAGAGGGCAGTTGGGACTTGTATTTTTTGGTCACATTGGTTGTTGTGGGTTTTTTTAATGTTTCAGTTGTAAGCAGACATGGTTGGTTCCATCTATTGGATGTTGTGCGGTTTTAACTGAACAATGTTTTAATCATTTCCAATTATACTTTTTAATTTTCAAAGAATTTAAAACTTTTTATTTCTCATATGAATGCATTTAAAACAATTTCAACCTATATTTTTATGGGTTAAATCTCCACTCAGTGTAATACATTTCAACTGGCTTGAGTAGACTTCCTCTCACTAAATCTATATTTAAGTGTCAGTGTTTTTAACCGCATTTTCTTTTTCTCAGTCTTTTCCTGGAGGAAAAACGAAGAAGAAGAAAAAAAAAAAGCACCAAACAAACCTTCCTGGACGTCTGTAATTTAGTATTTCATGTTAAAATGGAGAAACTACTGAAACTTTTTCTGAAGTCTGCCAGCTGTGATTTCCAGCAATGTGATAGAAAAGATGTTTGCATATGTTTCATGTTCTTTTACTCTGTCTAAATTCTGCATACTTTACAAGAAAATTATGATAAGTTATTCTCTCTGACTCTAAAATAAACAATCTCATAATACTCTCTTTGAACTGTCACTGAGTGGTAGAAAATGTAAGCAGAAGAAAAATAGGGAGGATAAAGCAATTAAAATAAAAAACAGGGAGCGTCTTTAAGACTTTCCAGGAGCTTATGATTATGATTATGATTCCTGAAATACTTTTTCCCAAATGTATTCATAAATGAATTACAACAATTACGAATCTTTTTGTACTGGAGAATTTTTTCATTAAATAAGGAAGAGTTCTGGACCAAACACAGCATGTAGAAAATAGAACTAGTTCCCATGAAGAGATCAAGACTGAAACTAAAGGTGTTTCAAAAAACAGTCTAGATCCCTAACTGGGTGCAAATTCACCAGAAATACTATAATAGTCAGTACAGGCAATGTTGTTTTCCTAATAGGGTGTTATCCCATCAGGACAGAGTTCGACCCAAAGAAATTTTTTGTTGGAGTTGTTTTCTTTCTGTAAACTTTGCACTGAAAGTTGTAGAAAGTAGGAGGAAAAAACCTAATTTTTTTTTATGTTTAATAAGCATAACTTCTCAAGCCTGACTTGTTCTGATTTCGTGTTTTAACCTGGCTAAATTCACATTGAGAGCATATGAGTTGAGCAGAAAAAAAAACCAACAACAAAACCAAAAGTTTGACTGGTCAGTCCTATCCAAAAGCACAGTCATTAGCCAGCTGTCATTTCCCCACTGTTGCTCAGAGCTCTGACTTAATCCTGGTCAGACCTCATTGGCTCTTGTTCCAAATCTGGCTCACTAGGAACAGCAAGTGAATGCAGGTTATTCCTATTTGCATGGATCT